TTTGTCGTGGTTCTGGTCGCTGCATTGTAGTTTTTCCTGAAAGTGGAAGAAAGGTTCATTTCACTAGACCATTTTTCATACCCGATCCAGGGGATCTTCGCCCACCATCTCAATACTTCGACACGATACGGCCGGATTAAACAAAGCATCGCGATTATGTTTATGTTGGTGTGTAGACATAATAAAATAAGACACCCGTGGGCCATTCCTAGAATCGGGAAAGCTAGAGCTAAATTGAGGAAGAATCAGAGAGAGAGAGAGAGAGAGAGACGAGAGTGAACGTGAGAGTGAGAAGAGTCAGTGAGAGAGAGGGAGAGAGAGAGTGAGTGAGTGGAGTGAGTGAGTGAGTGAGTGAGAGAGTGAGTGAGTGAGAGAGAGCGAGAGAGAGAGAAGTAGAGAGAGACCTACAGGGTGCGGCAAAAGTATTGTCGCAACCTTCCGCCGACTGTATCTGCGAGGAAATTTGACAGATATTCTAGCCAAAAATTTATTTTATGCAGTTTTTAATGCTTTATCCGATGATAAGATTTACTGCCAGAATTTTTGCTTTGTTTTGTCGCTAGGACAACTTTTTCCAAAAACCCGGCAAATTCAAGCCTAAAAACGGCTTTTTAGACGCTCTCTAGGTGGCCAAGGAATGGTATCTACGCCAAGCTTCTTATTTAATTTGAAAGAGCATGTAAAACTCTGCCTGCGAAACCATCAACCAAAGAATGTTGCGGCTCTTTTTTTGAAGGAACCCTATTCAAAGAAGAGGCAAACCCAGTGCGCCGCCCATGGCCGAAAAAAAAAAAAAAAGCGAGATTGTGTCGTCTGCAAAACAATGATAGCCTTGCTAATTTTTCTCTGGTTGATCAATGCTACTTTTTATATATTCCCGAAGTTTGAGCCCAATAATCCTGACCTGGTTCGAAAACACAAGCTATACATGACTGCTTGCAAATGCATAATAATTTTTTCAAACCAGAGGTGGATAGCTATCAGGATTTAGCGCATCATGCACATTAAAATAAGCAAACAGGCGGCTTATTAGTATAATGTTACGTTATCCCCTGAGAGCCCTTAAAAAACTAAAAATCCGAAAAACCCAAGCTTCTCGCGAAACCGGCCAGGTTAGCCCATTTTCCTCAAACATGGCTGAGGCCATAACTCCTTCAAATCACAAAATTATAAGGTTTCCATTTTGGAGGACGGAGAACAAAGCAAATGCTACCAGAAACACATATGAAAAGTCATGGTCCCACGTTGTCTCCGAATTTAAAACCCTATTTTGACGAACTGAGGACGCGGCGCACCGTGATTTTTGGTCGTGTGCATCATGCAATGAAAATCGCTCAAAAATCATGATTCCAAAAAACTTTCAAAAGCAGGTTGCTGCCTTGGACCTGTCTGAAGCCAATCCTGTTGACAAAACTTTGCGATTTTTTGTCGCGAATTAGATATGAAGCAAAAGCTCGCGACAATATTTTTGCCGCACCCTGTAGAGAGAAGGAGCGAACCAACAAAAAAACGTAGGATCCTACACGTACCTTGAATATACCCATTTTCACCTCGATCCACCAGCAAATATGCCATTCCTGCCGTGATTGGGACGTAGAAAACGACAATAGGGAGTACGGACTACAAAAAAAAAACTTTTAAAGATTTTGTCAATCTCTGTTTTAAATCTAGCTGTTAAATGACCTGCAATATCAGCGATATCGTGAGCATCCTGTGCTGTTGATAGGTGCGTGTACTCATACAACCACGTCGATCCTATGTGACAATGATCAAAAAATACAATTTGCGAAACCTGTAGAATCTTTGAAATCCTCCCAAAAATGTATATCATTGTCCCAAAGATGGCAAATTCTCCGGTGATCAGTGTTCCGAATAGATATCCATTCCACGGGTTTAATGCCGGCTCAAGGAGGAGGAAGTTTGGGATGGTTAGGATGCTGGAGTATTGAGGGTATCGCTGAAAGATGTAATTAATGCAAAAAAAATGCAAAAAATTCGATATTTAATTAAATTAAACGCGTAGGGCACCTCGAGAATAAAAGTGGCCATTTTGTCACGAGGGGTATAGGCCATAATACATTCCCAGGTTTCAAATGAAGATTTTATCACGTGGATTCCCGCGCAGAAATTGTAGAGATAGCTGAAAATATGTTTAATTTAAAGGTCACGAGCGTTTAAATAACTCAAAATCTCTCAGGTTTCAATTTTGATAATTTGGCGCTCGAATTCATATAGAGATCTTTGAAACGGACCTCCAATTCTTAAATTTCGTCTCAAAAAATTTTTTTTATGAGAAATCTAGCAACAACTTAATTTTTGCTAGCTTTATCTTTGCAAAATCGCTCATTTTTTCACCTCTTATCCCTTCGCAACCACGTCTCCGAGTCCAGCGCCCAGAGCCGATAAATGAACCCGCAGAGCAGCGAGATCGAGGCGTTCACCAGCACCCATACGGTGAACACCTCAAATTGGGGCGAGTACAACTTTCACCTGTACGGCTTGTAGCGGCTTTTTTTGGCTCCTTGCAAAGCTACGAAATGGGTAAAGGCCAGGTTTTAACGAGCCAATTCGCCAAACAATTTTTTTTTCCGGCTGTCAAATCACGGGAAATGCACTTGTTTGGGGTATATTTTAAACTTTTTGCAAGCATTATCGGAAAGATAGTTATTAATTGGGGAAATATAAAACTCATTTTGAGTTCGCCTACCCATGCAAAGTATCCATTATCAGGGAGCATTGGGAAGAAGTAGTTGACAAAAAGTGAGCATGAAGCTCCGCCAAATAGTGGAAAGAAGAGTTGAATTTGCAAGACGATCGTCAGCGCGAAGTCGGAAAGTGCTGTCCAGAACTGCAAAAATCAGCACTTGGATTTTTCTATCTTATTAGGTCATTTAATTTCCGACCAGGGTTGAAAAACCGCTTCGCGGCTTTTCAACCCTGGCCCCGTCTGATCCGGTGATATTCTGCAATTTGCATATTGTTCACGAATCCCCATGCCGAAAAATGAAAAACATTCCCTTCTGTCCCTTTATATAGGCTTTCGCCACTTCCGGCGCATGCAAATTGCTTCCTAACAAAGAGGGAGACCCGGATTTTCATAAAAACTTAATTTTAATGTCAAAAATAGCACTTTTTGTAAAATCTGATATGTGGGCAGTCGTGTCATGCCCATTACGCACCTTTTGGCGTATCAAACATACCCGTAACTTCCTCCCCTATCGAGATACGACTGGAACATAATGACGGAAGTTGCATGCAAAGTGGCACACACACACACACAAACACTATTTTTTTATATATAGTAGGATCTGGCGTGGTATCAAATTTTTCAAATTTTTGCCGGGTTTTAATGGGTTTTAACCGGATTTGTTAAAAGTTAGGGTTATTTTTGTTTGTTAATTTTATTGTTTTTATTGTTTATACATTGGTGCTATTCAGTTTTATCAGGGTGCCAGTCATTTCCCCGAAAAGTGGTTTCCCCGAACAGTCTTTTCCCCGAAAGTCATCTGCCGGAAAAGCCATTTCCCCAAACTGTCCTTCCCCCGAAATGTCGTTTCCCCGAAAAGTCGATTGCCCGAAAAGTCATTTCCCGGAAAAGTCGTTCCCCGAACAGTCATTTGCCCGAAAAACTAATTTTTCATGCAAAACCAGAAAACGCTCGAGCCGCCTGGGGAAATTATCTTAGAAAGGGGATCCAACCTGAATTTTTGCTACTTGTGTTGGCGGGGTACAATGGGGAAGGAAACCGAGTGATTAGTTAATATATCCTACTATATATAAAAAAATAGTGTTTGTGTGTGTGTGCCACTTTGCATCCACTTCCGTCTGTCTGTCCGGAGGACATCTCAAAGAAGGGACGGGTATTAGGCTACGTATGATACGTCATTAGGTGCGCAATGGTCTTGGGATGACTGCACACCTAACAGATTTTACAAAATTACCAATTTTCGACATTAAATTTAAGTTTTTTGTGAAAGCTTCTTTGTTAAAAACAACTAGCATAGACCGGAAGTGGGGACGCGACTATATTAAGCGGCAGAAGAAGTGGTTTTTCATTTTTTGTCATCTGAATTCAGAACAAGTATGCACAGTGAAGGATAAAACGGGGTCAGACGGGGCCAGGGTTGAAAAGTCGCGAAGCGGCTTTTCAACCCTGGTCGATGTTTAGGAACCAAGATTTGGGCTTTGTGCGTAGTGTTCATAGGGTTGATTTGCATGCAAAACTAGTTTTTCGGGGAAATGACTTTTGGGGAAAATGACTTTCGGGGAAACGACTGTTCAAGGAAACGAATTTCGGGGAAATGACCGGGGATCGTTTTATCGACTACAAAACGTACCCATATATTCAGCAAAAAATAACGATACTGCGACATTTCCGCCGGCGTTTTCTTGTAAATCAAATACCCGGCCATCCCGCTAATTGGTAGCGTAAAAATGTTTAAGACATAAAAGCCTTGAAGCGCTGGATAAAAGTTGAAGTCGATTTGGTTGCCCCAGAGCGTCTTCATGGCAAAGAAGCTCGTGAATTAGTGACTTCGAGCAAATAACATTTTCGCCGGTTTCGGAGAGGTCAGTCGGTAAAACACCAGATTGCACCTGGGTTTTTGGAAAGTCTCTTGGCCCAGAGAGAGAGAGAGAGAGAGAGAGAGAGAGAGAGAGGGAGAGAGAGTCCTTGTTTGTCCGATTCCACGTATTAAAAGGTGAGTTTCTCGGAAAGATTGTTTGGAGGAAATCAGGCTCATATCCGGGAAAGAAACAGTCGAGCTCGTAGTCCGGATCGCAACAAGATACAAGTAATGGAGTTTCTGTAGACTCTCTATCTCTCTCTGACTATCTCGTTCTAGCTCTCTATCGCCTTACTGTTCTCATTTTTTTTAATCCCAAATCAGACTGGAGTAAAAATGCGAAACATAGGCGAGAGAGCCAGAGAGAGAGAGAGAGAGAGAGAGAGAAAGAAAGAAAGAAACAAAGAAAGAAAGAGAAAAGGCTCCACATCCAGGATGATAGAAAGTCAGAGAGAACGAGGTAGGCGAAAGATAGAGAGTGAAAAAAAAAGAGAGAGAGAGAGTGAGAGAGAGAGAGACAAGAAAGAAAAGGAGTGAGAGAGAGCATCCTTACCGCACTTACGAACCTTTAGTCATCACCCGAATTCTCCGATTATCCGTAACAAAACTCAGAGCCTCAAAAAGTTCGCCATTTCCCGGGTCACCAATCGGATTTCCATAAAAATTCCGCTCACCGAAAACTCGCCGGCAATCCTGGAACCCGCACAATGGTGGCCAAACGGAAATCATTTTTCCATGAACAGAAATTTGTCATATTGGCAATTCTAGCTGTTTTTATTGGGTTTTCAGTTGGACTGTTAATAAGGTATTTTCATGGTCCAAAAAAACTCAGATTCTTGCGGTTTTCAGGGAATTCAATGTCTCCTCATCGCTACAAACCCTCATCTTTTTCCCGGGGGAAATTTTTATGCGGCTCTTGAAGCTATTGGTGCTGCCATTGGTGTGCGCATCATTAATTTCCGGTATGTGTCGGGTTTGAGCCGCCCAACAAAGTATAGCTTTGGCCCAGCTGCATCCGGACACCGCCAAGAAGCTCGGCTTGCGGACCGTTTTGTATTATTTGTTCACGGCGGCTATGGCGACCTGCGTAAGTTCGGGACAGAGAGAGAGAGAGAGAGAGCGGGGAAGAGCGAGAGAGAGGGAGAGAGAGACGGAGTGAAAAATCAAAAACGAAAGATTTTAGAGCTTGAGATTAGTTTTAGATTGGCCTAACGCTGGTGCTGGTTATCCACCCCGGAAATCCATCGATCAAGGTATTTAAACATTGCTTTAATCTAATAAAATCCGGGCTTAAGGGTGGAAAAGTGATACCTAAGCCTCACGATCACAGTCATGAAGCTCTGGACAACATCTTAGACATGATACGGTAGGTGAAGCCGCTAAAAGCACCGGTTCTGATTGGCTTCAGTTTCCTCGAATTTCAAATCGTCGATTTTTTTAGGAATCTGATCCCAGAAAATATCATTGGGGCTGCTAACAGCCGTGATCAAACGAAGATTTCGCGGAATGGGAGTGGATTCCCGGTTAAACACGTCGAGAAAGTGGAGGGGCTGAATATTCTTGGAATCATTACGTTTTGCGCGTTGATTGGGATTGGGACTTCAAAGGTTGGTTAGGATTAGGCTTAGGCTTAGGCTTGAACTTAACCTTAGCGAGTCTAAGTAGTAAACGACCCCGCCTTGTTTTAGCTGCGACACATCGGTGAGCCTGTGCGTAACTTTTTTGTGTCCCTCGAGACGATTGTGCTATTCCTAATCGAAGGCGCTATGTGGTAGGTAGCTACATATTAATTGCTAACTGCTGCTATTCTGCTGAAAAGATCTATGGAAATGCAAGGAATGAAACAAATTATTTTATAGGACAGCCCCCTTCGGCATTACCAGTCTGGTGGCGGCAAGTATCGCGGAAGTTGAAGACATCTTCACCACCTTCCAAGTTCTCCTTTACTTGATTCAAAATATCTCTGAATTAAGATTCTCGCCACCTACGTTGCCACAGTACTCCTTGGATTGACTATTCACATTTTGGTCGGGGTTCCGACGGTTTACATAGTCGGTAACTAAGTTAGAAGAAGGTACCTTACATTCCTAGTGACCCGCAAAAATCCCCCTACCCATCATGAAGGCGATGTTGCCCGCGTTTATGACGTCGCTGGGAACGGCGTCAAGGTTGGCCTTAAAAATTTACAAAGTAAAATTACATGGAAAGACAGCCAAAAACCAGATATTTTTAGTGGTGCTGCATTGCCTGTTGGGCTGCAATGTATGGAGGGGGTTGCGGATTCAAGGGTGACAAAATTTGTGCTTCCTCTAGGTGCATCGACAAATATGGTAAGATATACGGGGGTAGCTTACCAGATTCTAGGATGGGAACGCGCTCTATGAAGCTGTGGCTGCCATTTTTATGGCGCAGATTAATGGGATCGAGTTGACGTTGACGGAGGTGGTGACGATTAGGTAGGAAATAGAGAGAGAGAGAGGGAGAGAGAGAGAGAAATCGAGAGAACCATTCAAACGTTTAGTATAACAGCCACCCTCGCCTCAGCCGGACTAAACGCCGTCCCAGCCGGCCTCGTGTCGATGCTGGTGATTTTAGAGACAGTCGGACTTCCGGTTGCCGACATCAAGACAATTATTGCAGTGGATTGGTTACTGTAAGCTTTTCACACACCCTTAAATATTTTATAAATCATAATTAGAATTATCAGAGACTTTCTATTCTTCAGAGACCGGATCCGAACTGCCATTTGCACCATGGCCGATGGGCTGGTGGCTTCGGCTGTTGGGCATATGGTTTTAAGTTTTTTTCGTAAAGATCGAATTTTTTAGGTAAATTTGGACCCCTTCGAAGGTGAATTGCAGGAAAAAGAAGACACCTACAAGATTGGAAATTGCGTGCATACGCATCTTTAGACTGCAGTCAATGACGTATAAATTGTTTGGAAATACGAATTTGATTCTCTAACCATTTTTTACCATTTTCTCGTCATAAATTAAGTGCATTGCTAATGAAACATAAGAAAAACACATCAGTAATTTGAATAATGAATGCACTAAAAGTCTTCATATTGAATTTAAATAGCAAAAAATTATCGAGAATTTTGCCCAACGAGTGGCTGTGCAGTTGCTCGTCCACGCCTGCTTTTTTTGGCAGGTTTGCAAAATCGAATTTCTAGAATCCACATATTTTTTGGAGGAATGTGGCACTACTACCTCTTCATTTTATTTTTGCTTATTGGCGGAAAATGCGCGCAAGAAGACGACCCAGATACCGTGATCAACAAGTTTTTCGGCAGCATTATCGTGGTAATTGGCTTTGTCACCGCAAAAAAACTCTGGTTTTTTTAGTCGAGTCCCGGTTTCTTCAGCCAACACTGCCTGGGCACCGAGGAGCACGAGGGGGACATGCAAGTTTTTTGCCAGGTAGGTCACTTCTCTTTCTCTCTCTCTCTATCTCTCTCTCTCTATCCCTCTCTCTCTCGCTCTCTCTACCGCTCCCTACCTCTCTCTCGCTATTTCCAGACCGTCCAAATGATCTGCACGAAACGGGACGAGCTAGAAAATGCGACGATATGCCTGGAGATCAACATGTTGCTGGAACATTTGCAAGGGTAACCACTTTTTCAGTTGGCGGCATGTTCAACCAGGGGACAAGGCGAAGATCCCGACCACTTTCTATTTTTCTAGCAACGACAACGCGATGGCTTATGTGGCGATTTGCGGCCGCCAGGACGTGCCGTCCGTCTACTGCTCGCACTTGGTCGAAGAGTCGGTCTACCAGGTATGTGTAATCAGGGCCACTTTCGGGCCCTGATTTTTGTATCTATCGCCTTGAAACAGACAAAAATGGCCGTCCTTTCCGTTTTTGTGAAAAACCTAAAATACCAGCTTTGGTTTGACCACATTTTCGCCCTTTTTGAGCCAAAATTTTAAATTGCTAGACAGTTTTAAAGTTTTATAGTCTTTCCGCCTTGAAAAAATTCAGTTTAGTAAGTTTTTTAAGCTATTCACTATTTCTTTGAGGGCTTATACAAAGAATTATGATCCCACGCCCAAAAAACTCCTAGCAAACGAGGGGCCGTCCGCTGTACATGAGGATGGTCGCCGACTACGCGGCACGGGCGGCGTCGCGACCGGCATTTCGCGAACTTCTCTACGATGTGGGATTTTTTTGGGGCACCTATAGATGTCATTGATTTCCAGCTCTACGATGATTTCAACTACGACGGCGTCGCCGGCGTGTACTTGTGGCGAGATCTTTGCTTGCGGATACCCGGCCGTTGGACGCGGAAAAGCCATTTCTACCACGATTTTTGCAAGGTTAGGGCCCCAGGCTTCCACGTCTTGTAAACTTTTTTATCGTAAAGTTGAATAAAACAGATTTTACTAAAAGTAAGGCCATAAAAATTAAAAAATTGCTTTAGCTAGAACGACTAGTAAAATATTTTCTGTTATGCTACTAGCCAATTCTGAACTGATACAAAGCATCCTGCCCCCACTAATGCTAAAGAACCAAATTATAGCATCCTAGGCAAGTCGCCTGTTTTCAGAAATGGCAAATGACATGCGGGGACGCATTTTACTGCGGAGTGGCCGACCATGCGACACTGATGGTAAGATAATATTTCTGAGGAATAGATCGGTGACTATAGAAGCGGGCGATGCGCCACTTCTTCAGCATGTGCAGGCCGCACGCGACGGGCCCCGAGCGGGAGTACTGCGCCAAGTTTCTGATCCCGTCGTTTGAGTCACTGGTCTGTTTTATGTTTTAGAGCCAAAAATAAGTTTATTTTTCAACAGTTTTTGAAATATTTCGAAGTTCAAGTTTTGAAATGGTGGTTGAAAAACCTTTTCGACAATCAAACTCGAAAAATCGAAAATATGAACTTTTTTTGCTGGCGGACCCAGTTGGCCTAGTAATCAAGGAAAATTTTTTTCCGTTGTCTTTAGCAAGTCTTATAGATTTAAAGTAGAAAGACATTCCAAAAAAAGTTAGAAACAAGTTTCAACACAATTCAATTATTCGGTTCCCCGCCCGCGAATCCTAAAGAACCCAATTTTCAGTTTCTTGCCCAACAAGACGACCTGATGAGAGACATTGACATCACCGGGCTTCGGTTTTTGGTGGGTTCGCCCGACGTTTTAACGCATAGCAATTTCCCCGGTATATCCCGAAATGTTTAGGAAGTCTACGTCGACGCGCTGTCGCCGGAAACTTTTGCCGTCTTTGCCCAGGAATGTCAGCTGCAGCAACTCCACAAAAACTACAGTCCTCTCTGCCGCGTTAGTCCTAAAAGCTGTTTCTTCAATCACGGCGGTGCTTGTGCATTATCGGGTGGGGGGTTGAGGGGTACAACTGTTTGTTTTTGTAAAAGGCCAGAAATTACTAGTAAACGCAAAAGCAAATATTCTAATCGAATTCTTGGTAAGTTTTAGCCCAATTTAGGCACTGAAACAGACTCGAAATCCCGACTACAAATATTGTGATGATTTGCCGGCGACGAGTCCACGGCGGGGGAATTGTCGAAGCGTAACGTATCCAGATTGTGATTCGGTGCGTGATGGAACGAGGAAAACGTACCAACCGTTTTCCAAAGATTTGGATTCAAATGAAGGCCCTTGCTTCAGCGCGACCACACCAAACTCATCAACTGCTACAAAGCGATGGAGAAGGAATGTTCTGCGAATGGGACGTCGCTGGAATGCAAAATGCTAAGGGGTGCCTACTACGGTAATCCGGTAGGGATTTTTGAGCCATAAGCCTTTGAATTATAGAAAATTCAGAGTGAAAGATCTCTGATTAAAATCAAGACCTTATTTGTTCAAAAGTTTTGAAAGATTC